TATTCATTTTTATAGAACAAGTCTTTATCGAACTAAATATCTCCCTCCACCTTTACATATTTTCAAATGAATTTGGCATTTTTAGTTTCGTGCTGTGTTCCCAAAGGTGTCGTTTCTTCAACCGCAAGATAAAAAAAATAAATAAAATTATCAACACTGACTTGCTTGTTTCATTGTTTTTTTTTTTATTATTTCTTACTTCCTTAACCTTTTCTAGAATTATTTTTGCCTTCACGGCGTGCCATGTAACTAGCGAATACATAAAGTATACAAATACGGATGTATGTGGTTTTCTGCAATACCTTTATATACACCCCCACCTTTAACAAGCACATTCTCGACCCCTTGCACCAGCCCAACGCTTTTAAGGAACAGTAGCAACCAGCTAGGCAGGCAGCCAGCATCACTGCAGCTAACAGACGCATCGCATCACGTTGGTTGTAATCAAATTTTATGTAGGAGGACTTACGTGATGCGACAACAAATTGCTTGTCTGCACACGTTCGCATATATGTATACATGGATATTCTTTTCTTTTTTTTTTATAAGTGTGTATGTAGTATACCAACCAATGCATTCAAAATACATAGCTGTAATTTAGAGTTAACCTTCAAAAAGAATGAAGAAGAAAGTTATTTGTCTCATCAAAGTAATAATTTTTCTTTAACATGTCGAGCCCTAACCACCAAAAAGATGTAAGCGACATTTTTTTGAAAATTTTCTTTTTGATGCAGAAATGTTCCTGGGGCATCTAGAAGCATTTCTGCATCAAAAATTAAATTTTTAAAAAAGTCGGTTACATATTTTTGGCGGTTACGGCTCGATATGTACATCAATACTGTTTTTATTTATTTTAGTAATATGTACTCTATAATGTCGACCCCTAAGATGTAAGCGACATTTATTTTTTTTTTTAATTTTATTTTAGATGCAGAAATACTGCTTGAGCATCTAGAGGCATTTCTGCATCGAAAAGAAATTTTTGAAAAAAATGTCGCTTACCTTAATTTTTTTCGCTTATTTTTCATTGTATTTTGGCGAAGAAAATTGTGAATCTATACAAGAACTTTTGGGTGAGTAGCCGAATTTCTTTTTTAAATTAGCGCTAGGAGCGTTTGTCGGTTAGGCCTTGCTTTCGTTGTCCACCATGAGTGCCTAATGGAGAGATCATTTCACTGGAGCTTAACTATGTCCATGTCATTATAAAGCTCGTATTTAGAATTCGCCATTACATCTTCATAGTCATAGATCTTTGCGGAGAATTCTTCTCCCGAAAGCTTTCAAAGCCTTCTCATCTCTGTTCGACATCGCCCTCGTTTCTGCGGTATAACAAAAGGACGGGCATCATGAGGAATTTGTAGAGAGTGATTTTTGTTAGTCGAGAGAGAGAGCTTTGTTTTTCACAAGGAACTTTATTGCGGCACGTCAACCAAGGTGCTTAGATATATCACAATAGGATTTGTGCAAGTTGAGTAACAGCCACTTGGCAGCTACATATATATGTATATATGTATGCAATAATAGGCCTTCACTTGTCCCAAGGCTTTTTCTATCGCCTGTTTATCTGCGCTGTCAATAACCGCGTCTTCAGATATTTTACGGGAAACGCTAAGTCTTATCGGTTATTATTCAAACAAACTGGCACGCGAACGATAGACTGCACGGCACATGATGGATAATAATAGTGGCAAAAATCAGCAGTTTGTAGCTATCAGCTAACACAGAACTTGTAAATACATGTTTATGTCAGTATGTATAGTGTTACTAAGTATAAGTATAGTTATTGACTAGTAAAATCATCAGCTCACTCAGCGGTTGGTTTTCTTGGGATACTACTTGTTTTTTTTTTTTTGTAACTCAGCTTCGAACTTCCACGCAGCTTCTATGCACTTTTTGTATTTTGCAATTTTGTAAATTATTACATTCCTGCGGCTAACTGCAGCATGATAGTACAATTGCTTTTGTTGCTTAGCATATCGGGCTATTGTTGCTAGCATATCGGTTGTTTGTTTTCGTTTTGTTTTGCTGTATGTAGTTAGAATGGGTTTCGTGCCCTCAATGGCTGCGTGTATTGTTGTTCTGAGGCTGATGCCGTTGCGTTGCTATAGAATATTGCTTGTGCGCGCCCACCCGCTAATTCCAGCATTGTTGTTGTTGTTGCATTGTTGTGCTGATTGTTGTTTGTTTTCTGTGGCTCACTTTGTGCTCAAGTTGCTCAAGTTGTTCTTAATTTCTTTTGTGTTCTTGCAAGTTTTTTCTTTACTTTTAAAAATTTTTATCTTTATTAGTAGTAAATTTTCGCAACGTACATACCAACTTATTGCAAAGCATGCGTGCACGCAGATATCTTTTTTTTTTTTTTAATTTTTTAATTATACATTGCAATTAAACTAAATTGCTGATAAAATTCTTTGCTTAATATGCAGAGTCGAGAAGAATCTATTTACTTCAATGTACGGGTATGTGTTTAGGTGGCAATAAATATTGCTTCTCTGTTGTTGTGTAGCAATTTGTCCATAGTTCTAGATAAATTAAAGTTGGGTTTATATTTAAAAAGCTTGATATGTAATTGTGTTTCAGGCGAGTTAAAACAGTTTTGGCTGTCAAAAGGTGCTGCGAAATTAACGCTGCATTCTCGCGTTTCAAATTTTTTAATAAGGTTTCAACTCTTACTGGTCTATTAGAAAATTATGTCTACTCCATTATTAGAAAAAAAAAAGCATTAATCTTTTTCTTTTTATACATATGGTCACCTGAAATGCAAAAAGACGTAACAACATCGCAACTGAAATGGAAAAGATCGTGACTGATATTTTTATTTTTATTTTTTTAATTTACCAAAAAAAAATCGGTACTGTTTTTCCATTAGAATTATCTAATCTATTATATTTTAAGACGACCAAAATATTTCGAAAAAATATTAAGATTTACGTGGGCTGGACCTTCAAAAATTCAGTTTTTTATTAATAAACAGTAATAGTAATAACAGTTTCTTAAAGATGTTTTTTGAAAAAATCCCCTCAAATGACAAAAATTTGTAAGCTTAAAAAATTTGCACAAAAATATTAAAAAAAAAAATTTTAAATTTGGAACGGAATCGTAATAATGAGATTAAAAAATATAATAAATTTTGTAATCCCGGCGAAAAAACCGCAACTTTTTTTTGGTGATGCAGTCTAATGTACATATGTGAAGATGGTTTAAGTTAAGTTTGTTTTTTCTCCAATGAATAGAAAAGGGTTTCCACCTGCTTAAAAAGTTGAATTCAATTTATTTCATAATTGAAAGTATTATAATAATATGTGTAACAAACGAAATGATTTTGAAAAGCCTTCATTTCCAAACTAAGTGAGTGGGGGTTGCCACCTGTTTAAAAGGTCAAAGTCAACTTGTCTTAAAGGAATTATATAATTGAAATGTGTATCACAAATCTTTAATTTGAACATTCGTAAGATTTTTGAGGTGTTTGAAAAGGGTTGCCACCTGTTTGTTGAATTCGAATGATTTAGTAAGTCAAATGAATTATTAAAAGTTGGGTATCACTCGAAATGACTTTGAAAAATCTTAATATCAAAACTATCTGTGGTAGGGTTGCCGGCTGTTTAAAAGATCAAATTCAACTTGAATCAAACCTACTAATTAATTGAAATTGTATCACAATATTAGTGTCAGAAGAAAGAGATTTATAAAGGTTGTATGTAGTTTGAAAATATTTTGAAGCGGATTGCCAGCTGTTTCAAAAGTTTCATTCAAATGATTTAATAAGTTAATTTAATTTTAACAATATTGGTATCAATCGAAATGGTTTTGAAAAGGCTTCATTTCAATACTACCTGTAGTAGGATGACCACTTGTTTAAAAAATCGAATTCAACTTGAGTCAAGCCTATTAGGCAATTGAAAGTGTATCAAAATATTGGTGTCAGGAGAAGGAGGTTTAAGGAGGTTGTAGTTTGAAAAGGGTTGCCACCGGTTGAAATTTTTAAATTGAAATTATTTAATAACTTAAATAAATCAATACAATTTGGACATCAATGGACATGGTTTAGAAGAAGCTTCATTACTGAATTACACACAGGAGAGCTGCCACCTGTTAAAAATGTCAAATTCAACTTGAATTAAGCGAATTACGTAATAGAAATTGTATCAAAATATCGGTTTAAGAAGAAATATATTTAAGAAGGTTGCAGTTTGAAAATATTTTGAAGTTCAACTGGAATTAAGCCAATTATGTAATAGAAATTGTATCACATTATCGGCGTCAGACTAACGAGGGTTGGAGGGTTGAAAAAAAGAAAAATGTGAAAATCTATGTTTTGGATGAATTTAAGTATGTAGAGTTTTATTGAAATAAAAAAAACACGTAATGTAACACGAAATTTCATTCCCTGAGCGCAGCGGGTGCGGGAAAACTAGTTTTCTATAAATATAGGTCTCATTCTACAACAAAAAACATGTAAATTAAAATTTTAAACTCTGAACAAAGTTAAGGAAATCAGCGAATTTTCATTACTATTTCAATCTTTTTAAGCATAATTTTTAAAATAAATTCGAGTACGCAGTTGCCGAATTTGCTGAATTTTCCTTAATTTTTTCAAAGTGTTCACACATTTTTACTACAAGTTTTTTTTTTTGTAGAAGGAGCTCTATATTTGTATGAAACAAAATTACCATAAAAAACATTTTTTATGTACATCCAAAAAAATCAATGCTGAAAGGATTTTGCCATTGGTTGTATAAATATAAAACTTTGTGTACTTTTTTAATATTTTTATTTCATTGGTACGACTCTGCATTGTTTCTGCTAAATCCAGCTTTAAGTTTAATTTTAATTAAACAAATACTGAAACAAGCTACCAAAATAATGAGTCCATGAAATTAAATTTTTTCACTTTTAGAATAATGCTTTGAAATTACTTTCCATGTGTATTACTTTCACATATTCCATCTCAATTTCAGACCACCCATACTTATTTAATTAACCCTTCTTCTCTCCCACAGGCTCATGTGGTCGCCGCTTTCGAGCAATCGCTCTCCAACATGACGTCACGCCTACAGCAGCTGACCGCAACCGCCGAGCGCAAGGATGGCGAGCTGACCGACATGCGTCAAACAATCGAATTGCTGCGCAAGCAATCTATTCAGGCGGGTCTTACATCGGCGCATATGCAAAGCATGGGCGTGCAGACACAGCAGAACGAGCAACAACTACTTGCGCGCACGGCTATCACACAGCAACCGGTGTCGAATCAGAATGGTGCCAGCAACGGTACCGCCTCATCGACGCCTTCATCTACAGCTGCTGGTGGTGGTGTTATGCAACGACATCACAGCTCTGATTCGATGTGCTCGCTAAATTCGATTAGTTCCGGCTGTTCGGCGCAGGATAAGAAGCAAAAGAAGAAGGGTTGGCTACGCAGTTCCTTCACCAAAGCATTCTCGCGTAATGCCAAAATTTCGAAGACTAGTCGACACGCCGGGCATCATCATATGAGCGCGGGCAGCGGTAGCAACAGCATTGGTGGTCATGCAACACATGGCATGCATGCAGAGAGTAGCGCTGTTTACAACAAAGCTAATGGTCATAGTTACGCAGAGCCTATTGTGGGCTTGGCCGCCTTGGCAACACAACCTGCGCCACCAATGCCCACAGCCAATACATCGCCCACCAAAGGTAGTCCAGCGAAGACTGTAATGCTGATAGACAATGCGAAACCGATTGATGCAATCGATCACGACGATCACCAGGTTGTAGAGGACCTCAAGAAGCAGCTGCGGGAAAAAGACTTGGTGTTAACCGATATACGCTTGGAGGCATTGAGTTCTGCATCACAGTTGGAGAGTCTGAAGGATACCGTAAATAAAATGCGCGCTGAAATGATGTCGCTTAAACAGAATAACGAGCGGTTGCAAAAGTTGGTAACCAGCCGTTCACTGGCGGGCTCTGAAGCGTCGTTGGGAAATGCCATAAGTCCGAGTGGTTCTATAGGGGAAACGCGTCGTTATTCGTTAGCGGATGCCAATGCGCGTCCACCAATGGAGTTGCCAAAGCGTTTGGAGGAAGAAGTCGAGGAGGAAAACATTCCACCAGCACCCGCACCCGAACCACCACCACCACCACTTAGTCCCGCAACGCATATCGACCTTACACCACCGCCACCCGCACTCGACACAATTCCTAGCCCCGCACATATTGCAGCCGCAGCGGTTGAGGAATTGCCCGACGTCACCGATGGCAAGAAAATTGCTATCGCCTGCTATTTGGGACAGCCCGAGTCATTTGTCAAATACTGCGAGGAGATGCTGGAGTCCGATGAATTTTATGCAAATGGCGTAGATGCGGATGGCATCAGCGAACGCAAGTCGTTTCCCACGGCCAGTTTGAATGAGTTTGTCGTCGCATACACCTACATTTCGGGCAAGACAACCTGGCAGAATTTGGACTATATCGTGCGCAAAACTTTCAAAGATTATGTGTCGCGCATTGATCCAGGCACCAATTTGGGTTTGAATACAGACTCGATTACATCTTATCACTTGGGTGAGGCGAAGCGTGGTCCGGAAATGGGTTTCCCCGAATTGCTGCCCTGCGGCTACATCATCGGCAATGTACGCACACTATATATTTGTCTGCAAGGGGTGGGCAGTCTAGCGTTTGACAGCCTCATACCGCGCAGCATCGTACACCGCTATATCAGTTTGCTAACCGAACACCGGCGACTAATCTTGTGTGGACCCAGTGGTACAGGAAAATCCTACTTGGCGCGAAGATTGGCAGAGTTCTTGGTGGCGCGTTCCGGTCGCGGAAATCCCTCCGAGGCGATTGCAACGTTTAAGTAAGTTTCGCGGTGGGAGTGTGTGGAAAGTGTTGTATAATTTATATCCTTATTTACAGCGTTGACCACAAGTCTTCAAAGGAGCTGCGTCAATATCTCGGCCATATTGCCGAACAGGCAGCCATTGCTAATGGCGCTTCTGAACTGCCATCTGTGATCATTCTGGATAATCTGCATCACGCATCAGCTTTGGGCGATGTCTTCTCCTGCTTGCTGAGCGCTGGCCCAGCTGGAAAGCTGCCTTGCATTATTGGCACAATGTCGCAAGCTACATGCAATACAACCAATCTGCAGCTGCATCATAATTTCCGATGGGTGAGTTGATAAAAAAAAAATTGTATTTACTAATAAAGAAGCAATAAGGGTTGATATCACTCACTGATATCGCTCACTTTCTTTTTTAAACCTTTTAATGATTTTTTTTTTTTTTTTCCTTTCACTTCAAAGGTACTCACTGCCAACCATATGGAGCCGGTTAAAGGCTTCCTCGGTCGTTTTCTGCGTCGTCGCTTATTCCAACTCGAATTGCAGACTGGTCATCCTCAGCCTGAATTAGCGACGGTGCTCGCTTGGTTGCCCACCGTTTGGCAGCATATAAATCGCTTTTTGGAAGCGCACAGCTCTAGCGATGTAACAATCGGACCACGCCTTTTCCTCGCGTGTCCGTTAGATTTGAAAGACTCCCAAGTATGGTTCACCGACATCTGGAATTATCACCTTTCACCTTATTTGGTGGAGGCTGTACGCGAAGGGGTGCAATTATATGGACGACGTGGTGGCGCATGGAATGATCCATCTATTTTCATACGCAACTCCTATCCATGGCCATATGGTCCCGATTCGGTGCCACCATTGCGGCAAATAAACGCCGAAGATGTGGGATTAGAGGGTGTGACGGTCAGCAATGGCGACAATCCAGATCCACTAGTAAGTGAAAAGTTTCTCTATTCAAATCAAAAATTAAAAAAAAAAAAGTAGATTTGGATTTTTATTAACTCATTTCTCGTGTTCGTTTTTTCAGTTAAATATGCTCATGCGTCTGCAGGAGGCTGCCAACTATTCCGAAAATCAGGAACAGGAGTCCGATTGTGCGAGTTTAGACTCGAATGTAACGCCAGACAGCTCGGCAGGGGCTGAGTAAAAAATTTGGTTGGCTTGCGGTGGCGAGCTGTAAGCTCAAAGTAAAACTAATCAAATATGTACTAGAATTACCCATCTAACTATCTAACCAGGACATATTCGCTTCAACTCAAATATTCATGTGCATGGCTTTTTATATTTGTAAGTATTTATATGTGCGTGCGTGTTTGTCCGTTTATGTAGTATGTGACATTTTGTAAAATATTTAAAAAAATCGTGACTTTTGTTTAGGAAATATAACAGTGATTTTAGCCATGATTTAGGTATTCAAGGAACATATTTTTTTTGTCTGCTTTTATTTTAGAACTTTGATATTAGTAAATTCCAGGCTCTTCTGGCAAAGAAGCGTGAACATGAGTGAGGTTATGCCACCTATATTTTTTATATCAGTTTATACATATACATACGTACATACATACATATGTGGTAGAGTTCATAAAAATTATTTTTTTTTTTAGAAATTTTCTGTAAATCTATTTAAACCTTAATTTTTACTTCTCCGAAGAGTTGAATATATGCAATGCAATTATCTCCCTTGAAATTAGAAAAAAATTAGGTACTAACTACTTTTAGTCTAAGACTTTGAAATTTGTTTTCGTAAGTTTAAAATCTTACATATATAATTTTTTTACTCATTTTTTAACTAAAAATTTTGTTATTTAATTGTAATTGTTTATCTTGAAACTCCTTTTTATTAATGATTCAAAATTTTTTCTTTATCTTGATTTATTTAAAATTTGTTTGTTGAATTTTAAGTTTATTCAGATTACCACATTTTTCTGTTATTGCACAAATAAAATTTCTTGCACTACTTTCGGCACTCAATCGCACGATTTAAAGAAAGCAGTTTTATATAAGAAAATTTTATTTGTCACGAAAACAAGGCAGCTCTTCAACATCAGGGGTACTTCCTTAAACTCAAAAAGTCTATAAAGCCGCAACGGACGTGCATTTTTGTAAATTGGTAAAAGAAATATCCTTTTGAGTCTTCCACTTTTCACATTTAAGGAAATCCTCTAATTATGAAGGTTATCAGAACTACATGATTGTCAGCACTGTTTTTGATTTGCCACAATCGAAAGTTGTAACTTCATACTTACGTACATATGTATGTATTATAGAAAAGGGTAAATTTTTAAAACATTTTCTGTAAAAACAACTATCAGTTCTGATGTAATGAAAATTGCACTTTTAAACGCACTTGTTAAAAATGCAAATTTATGCGAAGAAAAACAAATATTTTCTAATGATAATAAATTATGCTGCCATATTTTCTTTTATTAATTTATTTTACTAGATAATACTTTTTCGTATTACGTATTTTTAATTTGATTTTAACGAGCAGCTTAGGCTTGGTTAAAAAAAAAAATCAGGGTTGCAACACTTGTTAACTAAGTACTATGAATAAGAAAATCGATAGTTAAACACTCTGCGCACGATTATTTTCAGAATAAGTTAGAAGTCGTCTCCCAAGAGCATATGTATGTAACTACATTTGTTTGTAAATATGTAGGTATATATCTATATCAGAGCTGTAAAATGATTGAATCAACATAGTCTGCATTCACTCGGCATTCCTTTCAAAATGTTGATTGTTGGTTTGTATAAATAAAAACTTCATTCCTGAGTGGCTTAAAATATTTGAAAACAAACAAACTGTGTTTTGTTATTGAATGCTAGATTGCCATTCAGTATAGAATGTGAATGTTCAGCAGCATTCGCACTCACACATGATTGTATATTTAGAATGAATGCACACTTTTTTTACCATTCAGTACCAATAATTTGTTCCCAGGGTTGATATATTTTATACTTTAAAGTTTGAACATATCTGGAATTGAACTCAAAAACAAATATTTTATTTCCAAAGCAACTTATCGCAACCGTAGAGCAAAACAGACACATTTTGACATTTTTAGACATTTTTTCGCAGAAGAATATACAAAATTGATTTATCACAATTATTTTTGTACTAAATATTTTTTTCACAGTATACAGTGATCCAGGTAGCCAAAACAAAAAATGTAAACATGCTAATTTGACATTTTGTTTGAATGTATTGGTTGATATTTTTTCACAGTTGTCGTTTTCGTTAACCCAAATGAAATCCAATTTAAATATTTTCTTATAGTGAAAAATATTTTCAAGTCACATAAAATAAAATAACAAGAAACACGAAATTCCAAGCAAATGAAGCGTGAAGCGTTAGCAATTATGACCGGATGCAGTTCCTACATAAGTCAAACCGTGTTCTGAACACAACTTTGAGTGAATAATGGTGGGCTGACTTTGTAAAATGGTCCCATCGATTAGGCGGTAAAAGAAGTATTACTTAGCTTATGGTACAACTCTCCAATTTTCAAATGCACGTAATTTGTGTGTATTTGTTCAGCCGATTATTCACATTTGAAAGAGGATAATGCATGAATTAATGCAAGTAAAGACGGTTTATGCAGATAAGCGAGCGCGTTTGTTAACCGTATAAAATGTATGTACGTATATACACATATATTCAGAATGACGAGATGAACTAGTTCAGCCCTCTCTGTTTGTAAACGCGCTAACTCGAAAAAAATTTAGTTATTTTAACGAAAGTCGGTGTCGAAGTTGCCTTTGGTATAATTTAGGTTAGTGTTAAATTTTGTGAAAATCTGCCAATAACCACGCCCACCTCCCACGTAGTAATTAACAATATTTTTGTTTTATTATAATTTGTTTTACGAATTTTGTTGTTCAAATTTACATTTCAAATATATCAACAAACATTTGTAGGTACTTTTGCACCAGTTGTTGCCTATGGGTTAATCACAGTATACAGTAAACCAGCCATTGACAATATGCTTATTTGAAAATTAATACATGAAATATTGTGAATGTATAGGATTTTTTGTCATTAACCCATAGGCAACGACTGATGTAAGAGTACCCACAAATGTTTTTTGATATATTTGAAATGTAAATTTGAACAGCAAAATTCGTAAAAAAATAATAAAACAAAAATATTTTAATTACTACGTGGGAGGTGTTCGTGGTTATTGGCAGATTTCGCCAAAATTTAACACTAACCTAAATTATACCAAAGGCAACTTCGACACCGACTTTCGTTAAAATATCGAAATTTTGTTCAAGTTAGCGTGTTTACAAACAGAGAGGCCTGGACCAATTCATCTCGTCATTCTGAATATTTTGATATATATGTATGCATATGTGTATATATGTACATAGATTTTATACGGTTAACAAACGCGCTTGCTTATCTGCATAAACCGTCTTTACTTGCATCAATTCATGCATTATCCTCTTTCAAATGTTGAAGAAATACATACAAATTTTGTACATTCCAAAATAAGCTAAGTAATGCTTGTTTTACCGCCTAATCGATGGGACCATTTTACAAAGTCAGCCCACCATTATTCACTCAAAGTTGTGTTCGGAACTGGGTTGACTTATGTAGGACCTGCATCCGGTCATAATCGCTTACGCTTCACGCTTGATTTGCTTGGAATTTGGTTTTTCTCGTTATTTTATTTTATGTAACTTGAAAATATTTTTCACTATAAGAAAATATTTAAATTGGATTTCATTTGGGTTAATGAAAACGACAACTGTGAAAAAATATCAACCAATACATTCAAACAAAATGTCAAATAAGCATATTTACATTTTTTGTTTTGGCTATCTGGATTACTGTATACTGTGGGGTTAATGACGAAAAAATCCTATATATTCACAACATTTCATGTATTAGTTTTCAAATAAGCATATTGTCAATGGCTGGTTTGCTGTATACTGTGATTTTTTTCAGTTTTCAAATATGAAAACTTTCAAAACAAAATTTCAGAAGGGTTCCTGTTTTTTTTAAAGGGGTTTAGGAGTTCCATTACTTTGAGCAACTTTTTTAATTAGCTATTAATTTAAATGTTTCCTAAACATATTTACAACGCAGTTCTGCAAGAGGGTACCATAACTTTTTTTCAAATAACGTATATTTGGAACAACCAAAATTAATCGATATGGATAAATACATTTATGTTCGTATGTACTACTTATGTATGTATATATACATAAAAATGCTCAGAATAAAAAGAAAAGATGATTAGTCCATGTCCGTTTATTTGCGTACACGATAACTCTAGCAAAAGTTGAGATATCTCAACCAAATTCTGTACGAGGGTTTTTTATCTAGGGCAGCAGGGTATTGAAAATACAAAAGTCGAACAATAACCTGGTCCCTCTCATAAAATGGTAATTTCGAAAAATGCCAAAACTACAATATTTCCTTAATTACAGGAACCAAATTGCTAAAAAACTGCCATGTTTATTATTATAGTTTTGGAAAATGGACATGGGATATATTGCTAGCTTTAAACATCAATTTGCTCAAAACATACGTTTAGAACAGTGTGCAAGCTTCTACCACATGTGTGGTAGATCAACCACGTATTTTTTTTTAAATTTGGGTGTCTACCACATCTACCACGCAAGGCTTAAAATCTACCACATTTTTAGACAGAAGATTTGTTTACAATTTTCACATAACTCTAGAATTTCAACTCAATTGTAATTCGAAATATAAAAATTAATCAATAAATTTTTAAAAAGGTACATCATAAATTTTGCTTTAAATATATCTGTGCCTTAACTTTCTAATATTTCAAAAATACGCCTATTTATATTTGCTAAAGTATTATGCAATGGGAAAATAATTTGGTCGATTATTTTGCATACAAATAAAATATTATTTTCTTCATGATTATATTCTCTAACTAGAAAACTAATGTTATACTTGTTTTTGCACCAATTGCGTGGAATCTGTACGATCCACTAGCAATTATATTTCCCGATTTAATTTTTGAGTTGTGCTTCTTTTGACAACGGTGTGCGATATGTATACCCAATAAAATATGAATTGGAAAATCTACCACATCTTATTCAAATCTACCACATTTTTTTTTGATTCTACCACACTAAAATAAAAAGGGGTCTGCACACAGATTTGTTAAATCTGTTTTTGAGAAAAGTTGATAATTTGCAACTTATTGTAAATGGTAGAAACCACCACAAACCCACAAATCAGGTTTTAGAATCTTTATTAAATGCTTGACCCAATTGCGAAGAAAAAAGCACGAAGAAACTTGTATTAAGAATTTTTATAAATAAATAATAAAATGTATATATCTAAAGTTAGAAGTAGAAGCGCTTAAATTTGTTTACTTATTTTAACGTAGATATATAGGTATGTACATATGTAATAATTTCTGCACATACCTTTTATTGGTACATTGGTAATACTTATTTAGAAAGCTGACAATTTTCGAAACAGAGATGTAAAAATCGTTAATAATTAACATTTTTCATAATGACATTCTTGGCAGAAAAATATTTCTCTAATTAATATTTTCATTTATTATAAATATTTATACAAATTTAAGTGAAACAAATTAATGATAACGCTCAATAAACTATTTTTCGTGTTGAAATTTTGAAATCTTTTCAATAAAATTCAACCTTGCGTATTTTTCAGTGGGTTTTGTGTATTTAGAATATTTATATCGATTGATTGGTACTGAATGAATGTGTGCACACATAGCAAAAGCTGCATTCATCTGAATGCTTATTCAGTGTTAAAAGTTAATGTTTCGTCATTCAGTTTTTTCAATCTTTCTTTGAATATGTTAATGTGTGCAATCATATCTACTTTGAGTGAATGTAGAATTGGAAAATTATAAGCCACATTCCCCAACAAGGAAAAATTCAATGAAAACATAATAACATAAAATTGATGATTTTTAATTTCATATGATTTCACAGTTTTACAGCTCTGATCTATATATATTCAATTACTACAAAAACATAGAAGAACATGCGGATTATATACCTAAACCTACTCTTGTTCACACTTTGTTGCCAAAAAGCAGCGTTATAGTTTATTTTCACCAAGTCTTAACTGCAGTTTATGCCGATGGAAAAAAGGATATTACAACTCGAAGGGGATAATTAGCAAATGAAGGTAAAAGAGCAAAAAAGGAAGAAATTAACCGTTCCGACCACCCCATGTTAGAAATATTGGAACTTATCTGAGCTCTTAACTGCAGTCGGCTATTACAGAAGATGTTTGAACATAAAATAAAACTGCAGTAAAATAGTAGTATGTATTAAAAGGAGGTAAAAATAAAAATCGTAAATGACTACTACTACTAAGTTCACCGATTTTTCGCAAATTCAAATACATACGTCTTATTAAATGCAAACATAACAGCAAAAAGTAAAATAGCTTAATACTAAACTAATAATTGTATGTACAGATTGAATACATAAATTCATTTATTTGTCATAAATACCGTGAGGCGCATTCATAAATATACAACAGAAGTCATGCTTTACAATTAAAATTAAATATAGCAAACTACTAATGCAAATACACACATAAAAACTTACATATGTACATACATACAGTTATATGTATGTACTTATGTATGTATGTAACAGAATAAATACTATACGGAGGAAGCATCAC